CACACACACACACACACACACACACACACACACACACACACACACACTATGTGAACATTGTAACTAAATATAAGGTAAAGTAAACTTTGCAATGGATTGTCCAATGAATAACGGTACATACATCCTGTTTCGAGTCCAACAGAATACACTGAAATATTTTGTGAAGCTAATCAAAGGCTCTGATTGGTACCCAGGAAACTAGTTACGTGGAAATGGTGAAGTCTTACCAATCACAAATGCTGACAAATTCCAGATGTTACAAAATTAGGAAAGAACACTTGATAAAATCAAAAGATGCTATTAGGGGAAGAAATATTTCCTCTTCGAGTTAGTGGTAGGTTATCCAGGTAAAATTGCTTGAGATATTTATCAGCAAGTATAAATATTCAATAAAATTAGGGCAAAGACAAAATACAAGCTATTGGGGAACCCAAAACACAAGCTTTTTGAATAGACCCAAGACTTGGGTACAAACAAGCACTCATAACAAACAATCTGGCTTCTCTGGAGTGTCTCTGAGATTAGCATAACCTACAGTTTAGGTTATATAATTTCGAGGCACATAAAACTAGGTTAAAACAATATTAACAAAGTATTTCCCCCACAATTACTGCTGCCAAATGAGTCTATCACAAAGAAAACATAGAGGTAAAAACCTAGGTTCTATTATGCTTAAGGTTCAGGAGGTAGAAAAATAATCCTGAAGATCAGGATTCTAATAAGACTTTTTATAGACAAAAATTACATCAGAGAGAGACAGAAATATTTTTTGATATACAGCATACATCCTCTTGGGCCACAAAAGTTTGACAAACTGAAACAGAATCATAATCACATATATCCCATCTCATATATCCTCTAAGAAAATAAGCCTAGGGGCAGGTAGGTGGTGCAGTGAATAGCACTCCAGCCTTGGAAACAGGAGGACCTGAGTTCAAATCCAGCCTCAGACACTTGCCACTTACTAGCTGTGTGACCCTAGACAAGTCACTTAACCCTGACTGCCTCACCAAAAAGCAACAAAAACAACAAAAAGAAAGAAAAAAGAAAATAAGCCCAGTCACAGAGACTCTAAATAAAGGTAAACTAAGTCAAGTTACAGATTAAATTACATTTAGAGGGTTCACAATGGGCTGATTGAAAAGATTTACACTTCTCAAAGATAATCAAAAACTTGGAGCCTAAAGAATCTTTCCACAACTAAATCATTTTGGGAAGTTCAAACTCCCCTTCAGCTTCTTATCTAAGGAATGTCAGGTTTTAGCTAGGTAAGGTTATTAATAACAGGAAGCAAACACGCCAAATGTTCCAGAAGGAATGGCATAATAAAACTAAGAGGAAATTTTAAAAATGCCCATCATATAAATGCTGGAAAAGATGTGGGAAAATTGGAACACTAATGCCTTGATGGTGGAATTGTGAAATGATCCAACCATTTTGGACAGCAATTTGGAACTATGCCCAAAGGGCTATAAAAAAAAGTGCACCCTCTAGCACTTCTAGGGCTGTATCCCAAAGAGATCATAAAAATGGGAAAAGGACCCACATGTACAAAAATATTTATAGCAGCTCTTTCTGTGGTGGCAAAGAATTGGAAATTGAGGGGATGCCCATCAACTGGGGAATGGCTGAACAAGTTGTGGCATATGAATGTAACGAAATACTATTGTGCTATAAGAAATGAAGAGCAGGCGGACTTCAGAAAAACCTGGAAAGACTTGTATGGTCTGATGCTGAATAAAGTTAGCAGAACCAGGAGAACGTTGTACACAGTAACAGCCACGTGCAATGAGTAACTTTGATAGACTTAGCCTTTCTCAGCAACACAAGGATCTAAGATATCTCCAAGTCCATTGATGGAAAACGCTATCCACATCCAAAGGAAGCACTATGGAGTTTGAATGCAAATCTAAGCATACTATTTGCTCTTTTTTTTTCTTCTGTTTTGTTTTGTTTCCTCTTTCTTGTGGTTCGTCCTATTGGTTCTTCCTTACAAGATGTATGTTTACTATGTTTAATAGGAATGTATATGTAGCGCCTATATCAGATTAAACACAGTCTTGGGAAGGAAGGGGGAGAAAAATTTAAAACTCAAGCATATGGAAGTGATTGTTGAAAACTAAAAATAAATTAATTTTTAAAAAAAGAGAGAGAGAAAGAAGAAACATGAGAGACCAAAAAAATAAAATTCCCACCACAATGCTAAAAGTTAAGCAGGTACTCAACTATCTTAGATGTTTGTTATCAATGACCTCCAGGGCCTGCAAGATTGGGGAGTTAGCAGGGGACAAGCTGCCATTGCTCATTTCTTCCCCAGGTGCAAGCCAGCCAAAAGTCAAAATAACAGGATACAGCTCTTCTAGGGATGCAGGCTACAGTTCTTTTAAAGTGAAGGAAGAAATTCCTTTATCCAATTCTCAGTGGAGTGAAGGAAGAAATTCCTTTATTCTCTATTCTTTACTCCCTCCCCAAAAGGAAGCACACTGAGTACAGAAGCAAGAACAGCTTTATACTATTAGTCTGGTTCACTTACCCCTCCCTCCAAGACTAGGATTGGTGCGAGTTACAATCAAAAGTTTCACCATTGGTTAGGTTCACGATTCCATATTCTAATTAGAGAAACTTCAATCGTTACAACTGGTGGAAAATCCTGATCCTTTATTTAGCATATGCATGAGGTTCACTGAGCCTGAGTAGTAGCAGATTCTTGTGCTCATACATTGACCCCTAATCAGCTAGGACTGGTTTGGGCCTTGGGCTGTGAAGACAGGAACCCTGCTATCTTAACTGGCCTGAGGAATGTCCCTCTCCCCTTAACTAGTTAGCCATTCAGCACCTTTACTGTTCTTTTTGCATCTTAGTGAGAACCTAATAATTCAGCATTTCTCACAACGTTTAAGCTAACCTTCCTTAATACCATAGCTAATCAATATGAGAAAGTTATCACCTCAGGGTAGAACAGAGCAGCCACACTCAGAGCCTAGTCAGTCAATAAACATTATAACACTTAATATGTTGCCAGTCACTGTGCTAAGTGCTAGGGATACAAACAAAGAAAAAAAAGAAAATCCCTACTCAAGGAGTTCAGTCTAAGGGGAGTGAAATCCAAAACTAACTCCATTTTGTTTGATTTACTTCACTATATGATTATCCCTCCACTTTGTGAGCTAGGCCTTGCTTATGATTATGATTATGGGGAATTAAGATGCTATTATGATTCTGGGAATTTGGGAAACATGTGCTGACCACAAAATGCTCTATACATCTTGAGGCATTCTTGTAATAACCACAAGATTTGTATAACTGTCCAAACAGAAGGGAGAAGGCTCCTGTTATGTTACTCAAGATTGTGTAAATTGATTGTCCCTCATTATTGCCTATAAGAATGCTTTGTAAACAGCCAAATGGTGTCATTGTACCTACTAAGAAGGTCTTGGACCCGATTTGTACACAACTGCTAGCCTTGCTAATAAATCGATTTGCTCAAATATTGCCTCAGTCTGGGTCAATTTCCCATCATCACATGGGAGAGACAACATGCAAATAATTATGGACAAACAAGGTATATACAGGATAAACAGGAAATAATCAACGGAGGGAAGATATTAGAATTAAAAGGCATCAGGAAAGCTTTCCTATATTTCTACGAGATTTTAGCTGAGACTTGAAGGAAACCAGGAAGTGAGATGAGGAAGGAGAGCATTCTAGGCATAGGGGAACAGCCAATGAAAATGCCCTGGTTCCAGAGATAGACTGTTGTGCAGAAAACAACAAGAAAGCCAGGGCAGCTGGACTGCAGATTTAAGGTGGAGAAGACAGGAGGGAGTAAGACATAAGATGACATGAAAATGGGGGAGAAGGAGAAGAGGTTATGAAGGACTTCAAATATCAAACAAAGGATTTTCTATTTGATCCTGGCAGTGATAAGGAGCCACAAACAACACTGTACAGATAAAATAGCACTCAATTTGGAGTCAAATGATCTCTGCTTGAATCCAGTTCTTCTATTACTAATCTTATATTCATCAAATTGCTCTTTGAGCTTCAGTTTCCTCATGCATAAAAGGAGACATCTGGACCACATATAGCACTCAATATAAATTACACACATACAGTTTTACTAAATACAATGTAATAATGTCACATGAAAATAACTTGTTATACATACATGAAACTGTCTTTAACTGCAAAGTACTAACACAGAACCCGCTATCCTGGGCAGTGAAAGTAGGGGAATGCAATGGCTGTACACAGAAATACACACATTTGTCTACTATATGACCTACACTCTTTCTCCCTTCACGATCAAAACAAATCATAAACACTGGTCCACCAGAGCTGATATTCAAAGAGGAATCAAAGGCTATCAAATAGCTTCAAAGTTCCAACTAAAACTGTTTCTACTGTCCTACATACACATCTACAAACACATCTGAAATAAGGATATGCTATAATACCTTCATAAAATTAGAAGAGAAGTAGGTAAGTGGGGGAAAATCTTTGCAGACAGTTTCTCTAATAACGGTATAATTTTTTTCCCTTAATTTTATCTTACTTTATTTTTGTTACA